CCCTTTCAACACTGATTGATCTGCTACTGTTAAATGTTGTCCATCTCAGTATGCCTGTGGCAATGGGTGACAGGATTTTCTAATTATGTTTCAAAGCAGACTCTGACTTGTTTTTTATAATGTTGAAAATCTTTATCTTGACTCATTTCTGTAATAAACTTCTGGCAATGGGAAGCTATAATTTATTTACTTAGAAATTTCTCATCTCTATTATAGTAAAGATGTCTTAGCAATTCTATTTTTAGGATTGCACAAATGGGGCATAAATCCTGTTTCTCTTTTAAAGCAGATTGTGCTAGGATGTCAAACATCAAATGTGTGAGATTTGTGTCCATCTGAATGATCAGCTTCATTTTTATTTCCAGGGACAGCCTCAGCCATCAAGTCTCACCATATGCAAAACCAGACCACTAAGCAGGTGATATATTTAATTTGTTACACAATCTCTTCCATGCATTTAACATGCTGCAATAATTCAGGGATGGTCTTCCCAGTGCACACTACAGGCAACTATTTGGTTTTAAGGCCTTGAAGCTGTGCAGCTCTTGGCTCTATTTTCTGACCATCCCTGGAAAACTTATTTTCACTTTTAAGCCAAAGAATGACATTGCTGCTGCTGATTCCAATATGCAACTCATAGATACCACATTTTCCTTTACAATCTGATATTTATGCTCATTTTGTGTCTCTGTAAAGAAGATGCCATGAGTAAGTTCAGTTTTCATAGCTGCAAATTTTCTGATGTAGTCTAATACACTTTCATGGCTCCCAAATTTCTTTTTGATGTGCAAGCCCTTTCATGCCTTAGGGAAGCATAGAAGAAAGTATGGAAGTACTTGAAACATTAATAAGTAGGTGCTGGAGGCTCATATTATGGTCCAACTGGGTGTAGGAGGAGCTGGTGTCTTAGTGATGAATCAGAAATGCTAGGAGTGGGGGAAGGCATGTCAGGAAAGATTGGGAAGATGCAAAGCTTGAAGTGACACAGAAAGGGCAGTCACTCACAAAGAAAATGCCTTTCCAGAAGCATTCTGAATGGATATGAAAAGTGAAATACTGCCTTTTTCAGAACCAGAGACAAGGAGGCATGATAATACCTAGGTGGAATAGTTTGGCTGAGGTGATGGATCAGAAAGTTCACATCTTTGATATGTTACAGAGAAAAAACTCAGCAAGGTGTGAGAGAGAATTTGGATGTGAGGACATAGGGAGAATTCAGAGCAGAAGACCTTGCACATGATAGAGGTCTGAATTAGGAGAAGAGTGTGTTCTCATCTCAATTGAAAATAGAATGAGGCGAATGAGATTAGGACAGAAATAATCATCCTGCTATAGCCACATTAAGGCTGAACAAGGCTAGTCTTCCTCGTAAAGCTATAGGGTTGCTTGGAAGAAAATGGGATCTGAAATACAAAGGTCGATTTGAGATTATTATTGTGATAGAAATAATAGTAAAATGTATGTTTACATACACCCAGCAACACAAGGAGGAGGATATAGAGAGCAGGGCAATGGGCCCAAGAACAAAGGTTTGTGGCAAAGCTTGGCTGAGGGTAAAGTCTTTTTCAGAGAAGCTGTGATTGGAGGGATAGGGGGAAAAACATAAAGACAGTCACAGAAGCCACTAGTGAGTCTAGAGACTGGATTTAATGAAGAATGTGCTCTTGGGACCCAGTCACCATTGAGTCCAAGAGAACATGAATGCTATTTCAAGCTACATCAGATTTTCCATGGAACCTGGAAAGGCTGGACAGTTTTGGAGAGAAAACTGAAGAAGAGGCTTTGCAAATAATGGATCCAGACTGTGTGCCCAAATTCTGACGCTAGAAAGGATCACTGCAGTTTCGAGAAAGTGATATGGCTCTCTAGTTCTACAAGACTTACTTTGTGTACCTCTGAAAAATGTGAACTGCCCTAATAGCTTTTTAGAAATGTTGGCTTGTGGAAATTCAGTGACTTTAGTACTGATGATCAAGCACTTTTGGACCTCAAGTTCCCAGTTACATTAGCAATTGATCAAAGTCAAGGCAGTCAGTACAGGAAATTCCTGATTCTGGTGCAAACCTTTATGTTTCAGCTCAGGACACTTTCAAGAGTGTTCTGGGTATCTGTGATAAAACACGAATAGATGCAAAATCTATACAGTGTAGCACAGGCTCACAAAACCCAACTAATTCAATATAGTTCTATATTTAATGTTGTTCAGCTACAGAGTAACACCACTGCAGCGTGGAAAATCACTGGCAAACTTACAGGGATATGCATATTACCCAGTATGACAGAACCAAAGGATGAAAAATTACTAATAGACTTTGGTAAAAAGTAAGAAAGTCAAAACAAGCACAAAATTGTAGAAATACAAAACTTCATTATGGTTTAGACACAGATGCTTTAGAATTTGGAAAGGTCATAATAAACTAAAAAAACTACAGAAATGTCACTTTCTTCCAATAAACTAAACACAAATAAACATTTTCTAAAGAAATTGGAGACTTCTGCTCAGTCTTTTAAAGCAAAGGAAAAACTAGCAGTTGGCAGAGAAGAGTGAAGGAAAGGGCAAAAAACTGAAGAACAAAAGTCTTCATCTTTGTTTTCCAGACTGTGTGTAAAAGCAATTTAACAAGCGAAGACATGAACATATATGAAGATAATTTACTTTACCAGATCAAAACTAGAAGACAGTTGAAATGGCCAGCGACCAGTTGAAGCATGTTAATCCTGTTTTAACAACATTCAATGCTGGGTTTAGTTGCTGTACTGACTGGAGTGCATTGTAGTATCACTGATAATACAGCTCTTTTTGTTTGTCTTCTCTTTGGTATCTCTGCCCCACACTGGCTTTTTGGGTTTTATCACCTCATGGCAATTTCTCACTCTATTCTGCTTTTCACTAGTGCAAGATTACTGAGCAGGGCCCAGCTGTCTGCTGCATGGCAATGTCATAGCATTTCTTTGTAGAAAATGGAGAAGAGGAAGCAAAGTAAGTTGATGGAAGAGTTTAGCTGAGCAAAGAGATGGGAAAGGCCAACAGCTCCAACATGGTATGCAGTAAGATCCAGCAAGGGGGAATTCAGAGCTTGGTTGTGAGGGTATAAGGAGTGGTCAGAGCAGAGAAATTAATCTTGTCAAGGTCTCCTTTACTTTGAGCAGTTAACTTCAACTAACTTGATTGGCCCTAAGTGTTTCTTAATCTGAATTTTTTTGACGCTCCTAGACCTGTGCTACTATATAGACTGTCAAGAGTATTTTTTATTAGCTCAGCTGCTTTCCTTCCCTGGAGATCTCCCAAATAAACTTTTCTTGAGGGCTTAATTTTCATAGCAAACCACACTCAGATGAGCAGCTGAGGACTAACCTGCAGCACATCCAGTTGGACTTGGGAGTTCTTTTTTCACAGGCCAGCATAATTCCACAAATTCGAAACACGTAAAACAAACTATAAGCCAGATAACAAACCTAAATGCCTGGGACTGCTGTTATCAAACTGCATTGCTCAGATTCCAGCTGCTGTGACAGGGATCAAGGCACCCCACTCATGGGCGTTGGCAGCATTTGTGGTACTGGAAACCACTCTTGGCTTTGTGTCTGCTTTGTCTATCTGCAGGACATGTGACTTGGTGTTTTCTCTCTCACTTTCTTTGTGTATTTACACCTCTACATGGGATTCCTCTTCCTTCTGGAGCTTGTCTCAGCAGGAAGGTTTCCTGCAGGGAGCTGCTGCCTGCTGCTTCAGTTCAGCTCTCATTCTGTCACTCTTACTGGAACCTGGGATTGTCGCCTGCACCTGGGAAGTCCTCTCCAGCTCAGTTAGCTTTACTTCAGCAGGCTGAGCTGACCTGTTCCCTCCCCTGCCTTCATACCTCCTTAGCTGTGATTCAGGTTTGGCTGCCAGGTTCACTAAACAGACTCTGGTCTCTATAATCTGTGAGTACCTGAGTCTCTGGCGTTATTATTAAACCTTTAAAATGCGGAAAACACCTTACTCTGAAGAAAGCTGCAGGTGCAACTTGTTTCCCAAATTTATGAACCTACTTTTGTTCTGTGACCTCCACTGAATCTTGTTCCTGCAGCTCCCTTGACCAGGGCTTTCCTTTTGCTTTTGCATGAAACCTTGTCATGGGGCCCTGTTTTATGGGGTGCCCAGGATGATTTCCTTGAGATCCTCTAGTCCAACCCCCTGCCAAGGCAGGGTCACCTGGCGCAGGTTACTATGTGCAAATAATAGAGCAGGAATGCATCCAGGTGGCTTTTCAATGTCCCCAGAGAGGTAAACTCCATGGATCTTCATGTTCCAGTGCTCTGCCATCCTCAGCGTAAAGTTCTTGCTCCTGTTTCGGTGAAACTTCTTGTGTTTTAGTTTATGACCACTGCTCCTCGCCCTGTCGCCGGGCACCAGAGGAAAGAGTCTGGCACCATCCTCTAGGCACCCATCACCGAGATATTTACGTGCATTAACGGGATCCCCTCTCGGCCTTCTCTAGACTAAAAGAGAGCTCTCCAGCCCGCTCAGCATCTTTGCGGCCACCCATCGCCCGTTTCCCGCAGCCGCCGGTCCGAGCGACGCTCCCCCGCGAGCGGCGCGGCGCCCTCAGCCCGGCCCCGCCCCGCCCCGCCCCCGCCCCGCGCGCGTGCGCCGCCCGCCGCCGCCGCGCAGGCGCCGTGGGGGCGGGCAGAGGGTCCGGAGCGGGACCGGCGCGGCGGCCGCTCCCGGCGCCGTTCGCAGCGGGGCCCCGGCGCGGCCAGGGGGATGCGCCTCCGCCCGGCCCGGACGAGGGGACGCGGCTGGAGCGACGCCGCGCGCCAGGCCGGGCCCCCGGCTCCCCGCTGCCGCTCGTCCCGCAGCCCCGCGGCCGCGGAGCTCGGGGAGCGCCGCTGACCGGAGTCGCTCGCTCGGGCCCGGCTGGCCCCGCGGCGAGGGAAGGAGGGCAGGGGGCGCGCAGGTAGCGGGGCGACCGCGCCCCGGCCCGAGCCCCCCTGGGGGCGGGGGCCGTCGGGGCGGCCCGGCCTCCCCCCCTCCCCCGTCCTCCCTTCCTCCGGCGCCCGCGGGGAGGATGGTGATGGTGCAGCCGCCCGCAGCCCCCGAGCCGGGCCGGGGCCGCCCTCCGCAGGGGCTGAGGGGATGAGCCGTGCCCCGCCGGGGAGTCGCTAGCGGAAGGATGACCACTCCCGCCCTGCTGCCGCTCTCCGGGCGGAGGCTGCCCCCGCTGAACCTGGGGGCCTCCGCCTTCCCGCACCACAGGGCTACCTTGAGACTCTCCGAAAAATTTATCCTGCTCCTTATTCTTAGTGCCTTCATCACCCTGTGCTTCGGGGCGTTCTTCTTCCTCCCCGACTCCTCGAAGCACAAGCGCTTTGACCTGGGCTTGGAGGATGTGCTCATTCCCCACGTGGACACCAGCAAAGGGGGCAAGAACCTCGGCGGCTTCCTTATCCACGGGCAAGGGCACGACGAGCACCGGCACAGGTGGGTGCCTCGCTCGCCGGCAAGGGAGCGGGACTGGGTGACCGGGAGAGAGCCCTTAAAATAGGTCCTTCCCCTGCTGCTTTCCCTCCTCTCGCCGACATCCTCGTGTCTCCCCAGCGTGTATCAACTTCTGAGCGCTCGCCTTGCGTCCTCCAGCTGCCATATGTAGCTGTGGCTCCATGTTGCCTTCCCCAGTGTGAATTTAGACTTCTGGCGAGATAGAGCAGGGAGGGCAAATACGAGGTGTCCTCCAGCGGCTGATTGGTTTTCTCACTCTAGCCAATTCCATGCATCAGGCGTGGAAAGAAGGGGGTTAAGTTATGGTATTTGTGGAGGCAGTGTCAGTGACTGAAAAACTGCCGCATCTCTTCTAGAGCTATTATGTGCTTACTCAAAACAGCTGCTTGTTGCTGACTAGTGCACAAGAACTTTGATCTGAAAAAGACTTCATGCTGTGATCCAGAGGCTGTCAGCCTATGACGTGCAGGACACAGAACTAGTGCAGATGGCACAATTGCCTTTTTCTGGCCCTTAAAATCACTTGCTCTAATGTTAATCTAGACGATTGAAGGTGCCGGTGGCTGAGTTTCCTTAATTGTATTTGCTAGTGTAAAGAAATCACAGATAAAATAAGAGTACCAAGGGTGGATATGCTGTATCTACAGCTTTTTAGGGGCCACCTAAAGCTTTGTGTGGTGCACGCCTCTAAATGTTCAGGACTGGATCATGTGAAGTTAAACATTCAAAACGGAGGTAAAAAACCTTAAATGATGATTATATAGTATATTTGCTTCTAACATACTTCAGTGCCTAAATCCTACCCTGTTGCCTGGATCTTAATGAAGCTGACAGATCTGTCTCTACTGTCAAAAATATGTTAAAATATGATGGTGGGTGATAAAATACCTGCTTTTCTACTCAAATTAGTAATACAGGGAATTTTAAAGAAAGGTTACTTATGCTTACAGTGTTCCTTTGAAAACAGCTTAAAATATATTTTATTGACGTAAGAATTATTTTAAGGTTATTTGTATGAGATTAAAATGAGAGGGTTTAATTTACTTATTTGTATTAATCTCTTATGAGTTATAAAGAACATGTGAATACTATGGTATTTTTCCTTAAGGCATCTTTGCTGTTGGATGTCTTGGGGCACTTACTATGAGCCCTTTCTCCCTGAGAGGGCATGGGTTCTTAACATTTAACAAGGACTTATTTTTTCTATGATGTTAATTTCTGGTGTGGTTAAACACTACATTAAACATAGAGACTGTCTAAATCTGATATGCCTTTGAAGTTCTTGTCTTTCACTGTGTGGGTTTATTTATTTTTTCTTCTCTGTGTGTGATCTTATTTCTTAGCTTCCCCAGTCCCTGTAGCACATACAGTCAAAATGAGTTTCTAAAATATAGGACACATGAAACAAAATGAAGAGTTCGGAAATGTTCAAAACTCCAGCTGTGGCTGTTGTACCTTGTGTTGCCCAGTAGATGGGCTGTAGAAAATAGGAGTCTGTTGATAGTGATAGTTCATATGAATCCTTTCCAGGTTCCCTCTTTTAGTTACTGAGGCCACAGCTTTAGGAAAGAAGGACTACTTTTTTGTGTCATGTGTAGGTAAGCAGTAGCTTACAATTGTCAGAGCTAAATGCATTTTGGTTGTTTGGGATCTGTTTTTAAACAAAGTGTTTATCCTGACATCATTTAACTGTCCTATTGTTCCTGTAGTGCTATGGCTGTGTGTACCTCCCGCCTGCCCTCCATCCAAAATTTCCCTGTCGTGTTCATTTTTTGAGTTGTTATTTGAGCAAGAATACTTATTGTTCCTGTTGATTTAGCTTTGCAAACCGGGTGTATCTTAACTACTTAAAAAGCCTGTCTGTTTAACCTGCTTGTATGACCCTTGTGTGAATGTCACAGTATGCATTGTGAAGCAGAGTTATGTGCTTTACTTTTGAAATAACTTTGGCCAATTACCACAGTTTTATCAATGGGCTCTTTGCCATCAGCCTGGGGCTGATGTGGTTGTTTACCATAATGGAAAACACATGCTGTCATTTTCATTGTGGGGTTCTTTCTCCTGGATTGCAGGGATATTGACAGATGGTATTTTGAGAAAGTGTAGGATCTTCAGTGGTGAGCTCTGGATTACTTACTGTTGCAGTTTAGGATGGAAAAATTTGTTTTCCTTACTATCAAGGGGTAAAGTCAGGCATCAGCTCCTTTGTAAGTGTTGTTTTTTGGGTGAGGCAGAGGAGTTAGATCAAGAGAAGTTAACCTAATTCTAATATGAAGGAGGATCACCCTTCTGCAGTGTGAAGGGTGAGGATGGATTGACAAGTTGCATTTCCAGAAATCGAGGGCCTTCGGAACTAATTGGATCAAAGGTCATTCCTATGAAGTAGACACTTGATTATGAAGTGACAGATGTTTTGATTTAGTCACTAAAAAGGAAAGTGTTTATTCTGTAAATGCTGGTATTGATGTCTATCAAATGATAAACCACACATCTTATTATACTGCTCCCTTGGTATATAGGCTATAATATTTTAATACTCATTTTTCCTTACTCAAGTCTTTAGTTTTGTAGGCTACTGGAAAATATTTGTATTTCTATCTTCTAGAAAAATGCAGCAGTGATGTAGGTAGAAAATCATCGTACCAACCATGCTTTAGTGTTGGGTGTGCAAACAATGGTTCCCACTGGACTTTCTCTGTATTCCTTGCATGCTTTCCCACCTCTTCCCCTGGGCACCCTTGACATTCTTGAGTGCTTTTATTTTTATTGTTACAGTGGTTACCCCTTGCTGACATTAACTTTACATCTTCCATTAAATTGTTTTCTTTACTGCTCCTGTCTTTTGTTTTCCCCTTCCAGGCAGAAAAATTTGGGGAGGGGGGGTTGTCCCGACTCCATTCCTCACGGTCTTAAATATTTATTCAAGAATTACAATGTTCTTGCCTATCTACGGAGAAAAACACATTTATTCTAAGAAGATGGTTAAAATCTGGAGTAAAACTGCAGTTTGTGTTTGGGAAATGGATGGTCTGTATTGCAATGTAACACTCACTTTCAGCTGTTTGTTTCATCTGTAAGCTCTTCCTGCAGGGTAGTGCGTGGGGAATAAGTGAGTAATGTTGGGAAGGTGTACCACAAATTTTTGCCTTTGAGAGGAGGGAGAGTGGAAAGGATTAGTCCAGGACTTAAGAAGATATGTGCATACACATATCACAGTTTTAAAAAATAATTTCATTTCCTGAAGATGAGCTTCTTTCCATTTCAAATAGGATATTGCAGAGATTCTGGAATGAGAGCTGCATGGTTTTGAAGACACATCTTGCCAAACAAACTTGTGTAGCACCCAAAATTTCTTACATGATTTTAGATAACTGTAATTTTCCCAAAGTTTTGCATCTCTTGCTGCACAAAGATACTTAAGGTGTTTCTTACTACCCAGTTACTTTTCAAGTGTCTGTGGTGTTTCATTCTTCACTACCAGATCTAAAAGATAGCTCTGGAAGTAAACCAAGACATTCTTATAGCTTCTTTGCATCTGATGCAAATGAGTGAGACTGCAAATGCCCTGTAATCTCGTTGAGTTCTCAGATTTTTTAAAAATAAGATTATCTGCAATATGTAAATTGAGAAGACTTGTTTCTTTAATGTGTGAAAGTAGCTGCTCTCTGTATTACTTGACAAAAGCTAAGGCCATTTCTGTGGTGAAAATACATTAATCTTAGAGGCAACAAATAATGTAATTTTATGAGCTCATAGCTACTTTGTAGCAGCACTTGGACTGCTGCTGGGCAAACACTTCAAGCCTTCAGAACTTGTGAAGATGTATCTTGAGCTGATGAATTCCTGTGTATCACTTCAAGTCAAAATTTCTGTCTGGAAAAAAACCTCACCAACCCTCAAGTCATCAGGTTGACAGCAGCTGCTGCTAATACAAGTGCCCACCTCAATAGCCTTGGCCTCTGTGTGGCAGTGGGTATAGATCTGTTTAAATCATGCTTTTGACTCTGTTTCTGGAATGCTGAGGAATACTGACTGCTGTGTTATGCAAAGATGGAAGCTCTGTAGTCTGATATGATGAGTTGTGGGTCAGCAGTTGTATGGCAGTAGCTGCATGCTCTTTCTTCTGTTGCTCAGTATGTGTTTGTCTCTTTGGTAGTAGCAGTGACTGTCTCTATTCTTAGGAGGTGAAAATAATAAATTATTCTGAGATGCTTTTGGTTTTAATTTCTTCTTCTAATTTCTGTGCTTTTTAAAAAAGGAACATGAAGAGCTTAATATGCTTCTTTTGAATCCCTTTATCTTCTCTCATCTATATTACTTAGCTTTAGTAAAAGTGGGCAGAGGAGATAATTTAGCTTCTATTACTCAGTGGGATCAGTGTCTTCTGTCATCCTCTGCCATGCCATCGAGTATAAAAGTGCATAAAACTCCTTGCTCTTCCTTTCCAACTTTACTTGGGGCACAGTTCATTAATGAAATTAAGAGTATTTGCTATTGTGATTCAGGGAACCTGCTTTTTTCCCCTGAAAAATCAGGAACTACTCTAATGTCTGCAGCCCAGCTCCCACACCATTCAATTTTTCAGTGCATGAGATTGAGCCTTTAGGGCAGAGTCCCCATAGTCTCTCTGAAATGTGGGCACTGATTTTAAGCTGAGATGCTTGATCTAGAATCAGGGATTTTCTGGAGTGCCACATTCAGGAAATACAAGTCCTCATGGTGACATCTCTCGAGCCAGTGTGTTCCAAGTCAGGCTTCAGAAATGTCTCATATGTCTAGGGTGAAGCTGACCTGTAACTGCCTGGTTCAGTCTTCAGCTGCTGAAGCTTCTGCAACAGCACTGACCTTCTTTATTTGAAGACTTTTCTTAGCTGGAGTTTTTTAGTGGCCACACGTTATTCTTTCCTCTGGAGCCTGTGTTGAGAAGAGACTTGAGAGATTATGATGGTACTTGAAGAATTATGGGAGTTTGATGTCTTCTG